TATACCTAGAAATACAATATTCAGCATGCGGACAGCACAGCGAACGTTAATAACAGCATACGCGTCAAATTAATTATTTATTTGCCCAGCAAATGCGCTTCTCGTGTAGTTTGGTACATCGCGCGACCAAATATCGCGCACTATTGTTCTGCACAACAGAAAATATTTACACTCTCCACGGAAAGTTTTACAAATGTCGAAATGAAATTAAGTCTTAAAAGAAACGGTCAAATATTAACACCCACAAACTTTCGTGTGTAATCTACTAGTTTTACGTCCGACCAATGTTCGTCAAGCATAGTGCAACAAATTTTTGTAACGTAAACAGCGTGTATTCGCGTCCCAGCAAATTTTGTCAACCAATTTAACAAAACTTCGGTGGTGAAATATCATACCCGTATTTTTTTTAAAAATATAAACTTGTTCCCCATTTTGTAGAACGTTCCGCGTGCTGTTACAAACAAAAGTTAGGAACGAAAACAGAGAGCATAAATATGCATGGCACAACATCTAGTGTATTTTCTTGGTACGTATATTTTATCTTTGACAAACGACTACACGTTGACGTGTATTTGCAACGTTATGTAATTTGAGAATAATATTTATAATCATTTTTGTATTTGTATACACGAGTGTACATCACGTTGTATTTATTTCGAAATAAACCGTTCGAAAGGAGTATTCATTCAAGGGGATGTGAAATTTTTTTCTACAGTGTTCTCTCCTCGTGAGCGGGCAACAATCCAGTGCGTATTTGCTCGCGTTTGGAACAACGGTGCAATCGATTCGACGAGAAATCTCACGTGGTTTTTGGTCGCTCTCGAAAATTGCCAATTTAAAGCGGTTAGTAGAACGTATTTCCGTGCCGCGAGTTTCGGCCGAAGTGCATTGCGAGTATTTTACGTACAATTAAATTTAATTCGTTGTAACTAAATGACTTCGTGCAATACGTATGCGGTCGCTATATTTTTAGGTGAACCGTGCCCGTGCCGCGCGCGGCAGTTAATTATACCTCATAAACTACCGTTTTATACATACATGCACCATGTGGCAATTATTCACTCTGTTCGCATCTCTTTGTAGCAGTGACAAACAATTTCGTGTACTGTGGCTATTAAAACAACAATCAATGTTCTTCGTTGAATATATAATCTTAAGATTTCTTGAAGATTTATATGAGGTACCAAAACATATTTATACTATGTCAAATAAATAAATACATTTAAAGCTGCAGACTTACTTAATTTTCTATCTAAGCTTACTAGATAAATAATCAATGTTAAGTCAAATCTATATGTGGGGTATTATCTGAATTTTCTTAACGTAGAACAGGCGCATTTCGCATGTCAAATTACTGACAAGCGTTGAACAGATTTTTCAACTGAAGTGGAGAGTCGTGTTTCCTGACGACAAGACTTATTGTTAGTTCCGAACAGGAAATACCGAGTATTACAGCGAAACGCAGTTTCCTCTCTCGATGAAAAGAATCGTGGATTCTTAAGATTTGAATGAGGTTCGACGCGTAGAAATGATCCCGTCCGAGTTCTCGACTCGTTTGTTCCTCAGGATGAATCCCGACCCATGAACCACCTCATCCACTGTCGAAGCGGTCGTAAAAAAAAAGAACAGTTTCACTGCGAGGTAACAAAACTTTCCTCTCGGACGAGTCATCTTCGTTCATTGTCCTATCGGCGTTCCAGGCTGAAAGAATAAAACGTGGATGGGGGAGAGGTGGCTGAGAATTAAAGTTCTGGCCGGAGTACAATGAGTGGCTCTCCGGCTGGCAAACGCGGCGAACAGTCCACCAGGAACAATGTCTTGGCAATATCTGTAACGGGAGAGACAAAATGGCCCGACCGATAGACGGTTTGCATTCATTTATACTATCGACGAGCCGTGAACGAGTCGAGTAGAATGGAAGCGACATCGGAGCACGGATTCATAATGTTTTTTTCATTGTTCCTAATTATTAATTAATATATGTATGCAAAGTACTCGTACAATCCTCGTGCTCGTACGACCCTCGTGCTCGATTAGTTGGGAACGAATTTTCAGAGCTCGTTCAATTCTGTGTTTACATTATTGAAAAATCAATATTAAATGCACCAGGAAATAAAAAATATATTTACCTTGGAAACATTTTTGCGAAAATTCACTGTATTATCATTCATCATAGTAAAAATTATTAAACAAAGATATGTAATATACGATGTAATAATTGCAATTGTTATAATCATTTTCTGACTATCTGGTAATAATTTTACCGTGAATGCATTCGAGCAAAATTATCATATTCATCTTTCGCGTTCCGTACAGCATTCAAGAGACACAAATCAAAATTATGAGCACCGTAAAGGGCGCACAATACTATGGTAGCATCAGAACGATCTGATAATAACAGTAATGTCCTGTTATCATCCAGTTTATGACATCACGAATAAAATGTTTCACTCTCACGCTTTTCCTTATTTCCCTCCTTGCTTCCACGAACTTTGTATTTCGAGTATAATTTCACGAAATTAATTTTATCGACTATAATTCCATAGATAAGCAATAACAAATATTCTTTCCATGATAGAAGTATTTCACTCATAGAATACTTTCAACATTTGTTCAAAGTTTAATTTTCGTACTTTTTCCATAACCCTGGTAAACTTCATTTCTCATCAGTGAACGCAAAGATTGAAAAGAATTAAAAGACGTGATCCGGCTGAGCACACGTTATCTCGTTATCAAATCGTGCAATCCGAAGGGTGTGTTTCCCTGTGCGCTAATGGATCTGGTAGCACGATCTTATCGCAAGGGTTAAGATCGAACTGACGGCAAACACGAGGCGAAACGGAGTTAGCCGATAAGGGTTGAAAGGTCTCCAAAGGCCGAGGTTCGGCGGCCAGGTGGCGAAATTGTTTGCGAATAAAAGGCGAGATACGCGGGCGGATAGGACAGCGGGCGCCGTGAATATTCATGATCAAACGGGCGCGGAACGCGATCCTTTAATGTTTGTTAATGCGGGAAATATTTAATTACGCGAGATATTTTGCGTATCGCAACGTACCGGGCGAAGCGAGTGTTACGCTTTAATTAACGTTGGTTATATTCGTTCACGCGGTTTCATTCTTACGCTGAATTGCTACACCGTCCGAATTGTAATTACGTCCTCTTCTATGCCGCGTGTATTCGCGTTCACCTAAGAAACGTTATCCTACTTTTACGTTTAATACCTTTTTACGTCCACGTTCACCGCGCGGTTTTCTCTATGTACTCGTGTACAGCGTAAACATTATAATCTTGTAAAGTAATACTGTGCAAAAAGGTACGCTTTTACCTTCGCCGCGAGCAACGAAACCTGAGTTTCAAATGATTTTAGATTATATTACAAGGAACACGAGATACGAAATTACAAAACTGGGTTCTGTAAAAAAATGTAGAATAACAGGTTTCGGGCTAAATAGTATTACACTGTGTTACGTTGTGTGGAAGAAAACAAAGACCGTAGCAACGTCGTGAACAATAGTAGGACGTTGGAATTTAGAGTACCTTTGGTTGATTGTACAATATTTGTGTATATATCATATTCCGTAATTGGTAACCAACGTTAAAGGGAATGGCGGGAGCTCGTGCGAATAGTTTCGAGACGTCGAAATTCTCGTCGCAGGCTGAAATGAAAGGGTTAACGACGGGACAATTCAAGCTCTGGCTCAAGCCTCCCCATAATGACGTCGTCCATTCACGGAATATGGTTAATTATCTGCTACCAGGCTTGCTTGACATGGGCTCGAACCGAAAGGGCGAGATAGAGAAACGTGTCGTTAATTTTATAGATAATTAGTGGAACACAGAGCTGTTCGAGTGCTTGTGCAGGCAGAAACGAATGCAAAAGTGCGCTGCAGAAACCTGCTGATTGCATTACCGGAAAGACGAATAGCCGTTTCGGTGAATGGGCTCGTTAACTTGCGCGCTTACAAATTGGCCACCATTTTGGTCGGCCGTTTTCTCCCCTTTTCCGCAACCTCTCTTTCTACCACTTTTTCTTTCATCTCGCTCTCTCCCTGCCCCGTCGACGAGAAATCCACCGACACGAACAGATAAGACGGCGAGAGATTAGACGTTAATGCAACACCGATCGTTGCATTAGGTACCTCGTGAATTGTCAATGAGTTCGACTGTTGACATAAAATATTACCTCCTTTCTTAAAAGTATTTTATAATTCTATAATTAACTTGTACAGCTTTTTTAAGGACCTAGAATAATTATCCTTTCTTGTCAAAGATTTCAATGTCTCCTCTTTGATTACGTATTCAATTAGAGTTTCATTTCTTGAATTACATAATAGAAAATGTAAAAGCAGCGGCGCGGCGTACGCAACGCGGCAATGTCGTATTAGCACGGAGCTGCTTTTTTTCCCTTGCCGGTATTACGGTCATCATAATGTTAGTTCGGTTGGAAAATGCAACACCGTACCGGTCGGGCCCTGGGGAAATGTCGGAAAAAGGACTTGAACACTGCTCGACTGTTGCTTCACACGTTCGAATAATGCATGCTTGCCTAGTGGTTCCCCTGGACCATTAAAAATGTATCTCCGTCCGCGTCGTTACGATGTTGACTCATTTGCAGACATCGTTTAGTTACAGCCGCGACGCACAGCTCCCGCGCGTTGAACCCTCGCCGCTTCGGCCGCCCCTTCTTTCAACCGTTCCCTCCTTAAATAATTTATCAGCCGGATTTGACGGCAATATCGCTTATTACGGGCCCCTTCATGCATAAAAAATTTACATCGCGTCGTACATCAAAACGTTCGCTTCCATTTCGATCCTTGGTTAAGAGAATTCTACCCTCTTTCGTATACTGGATCTACTGCGCCAGTTTTTTTACATTATCCTTTATATCAAAGGGAATCGTAGTGAAGAACTATATAAACGTTCCTCATAAAATAAATACATCCCTCAACTCTGAAGATTGTTACGAAGTTTATTATTAAATAACACAATTCGTTCTCTCTCGCATTAAGAATTCTAGTCATCACGATGGTCACTGCCGAGAGGGTGGATTACATGAATCTCACTGAGGAATTGTATTAATATGAACGCGAAGTACAGTGAGTAAAGCATATAGCCGTAAGATCGTCGAGCTATAGATCCGGTAATGTTTAGATAAATGATGGTCATCAACAAGGAACACAAAAGGAAAGCTAAACAACCAGGGGCCATATCGCTCATTCTCATCTTCATGCTCTTGCTTTTTTCCTTAGCGGTCGCGACGGTATAAGTTAATCCCAGGCCCAGAAGCGTATTGAGCATGGGTCCACCGAAACAAGCCGCAAATCCCATTCTCGGGAAACCTCTCTTGGCTATAGTCACGTTCGATATCAGATCTATAAGCAGATTTCGATTGCCGTCAGTCAGCTATTAACGTCGCGTCGGGGCAAAATGCTAGATAAACAGCGACCCGGGACGGGGTTGCTTCCTTCCTATATAATTCCCGTTTAAATATTTAGCGGTCGGGAGAGGAACTTATAAAGCTTGCTTCTTTCATTTATATTTAATGAGACGATTTCAACCGTAAAGCAGAAATGATGGAAACACGCGAGGGAGAAATAGAGTAATTGAATTAGTGTTGAGTGATTCCCGGGCTGCGAGAGTACGTTACGTTTGTATATGTTTCTCTGATGTATCGTTCGAGACAGCATATTTCGTTATTTTTATCGAGGATGGAAAAGTAACTTTAATTGCGAGAATTACGAGAAAAATGGATATATTCATTAATATTTGAAAATCATTGTGAACGTTCATCGTACAATTGAAGAGAATTGCAGGGAATGGGTATGTTAAAAGCGGTTTGTTTTCGGCGTAAATTATGTTTCACTCACCGCCAACGCTGTTACCCCAGGCAAGGAACGTGATACCAAGCATGGCATCGGATATACGGAAAGCGTAGCCCACGCATTGGAGCACTGCCACCACTTCCGATGCTACCAAATAGACCGCCAGCATGGCGACCAGGAATCCGAGAAATGCAAAAAACTGCAATTAATTTGTCGCCGGTCATTACGTGCAAACGGATTCTGTCTATACGCCTATTAACCGTACGAGCAGTGAAAAGACTGAACGGAAAGAAGTAGCACTCACGTTATGAAACCTTGGTACGCGATCCACGTGGGTCATTAAAAATACAATTACACCAATTACGATGCTGAGCAGCAGGAATATCGGCGCGATTGGAACCGGGCCAAAACGTGCTCGCCAAACTGCGAAACGGGATGAAAATGAGATACCAGATACCCGTGATGGTACACCGAAGTATTTCGAACTATTAATGAAACCCGCCAAACTTTTTTGCACTAAACTACAATCGTTGCATTTTTTTTTTAACAAAACCGATCTAAATGGTAATTTATTTATAATAAAATAAATGACAATGCAGTTCGGTATAAACAGTGAATCAGAATAAGATTATGTAGTAATAAATCAGAGATTTTCATTTCATGTCAAGAATTTCTATACGTGTATAGAAATATACACGCGACGGTAATTAATAATTAAATCAGAAGGAGGGAAAGGCAGGTGTAATCAACGTATAAAAATCCGTGACAGTATGTTTTAATTTTGGCTAAACACCGGCGATTCGTGCGTTACAAAAACTGCTCGAGCTTGTATTTCATCGCGAGCGGAAAATATTTCTGGGAAAAGCGCAAGCTTTTATTAGCGGAGGTAGGTAATTTATAACAGCGGTGGCGGTGGCGGCGGCGGCAGCGGCCGAGTAGAAGTCACAGCAATTAATACGACTAACCGTTTAATAGAAACAACGCCAACGTCGCTGTCACACACAGTTGGAAGCAATTTAACAGTTTGGACCAGCCCCTCTTCGCGGCGGTGATATTCACGACCGGTACAAATAATTGAAGTAGTAGCATGACCGGCGCCCGTATGATTAAAATAAATTTCAAAAATCGATTCGCATTCTCCCAATCTTCTTTCGTGATCGGATTAATGTCGTATAGAAATTCCTTGAAAAGTCCCTTCGGTCTCTCGGTGTCTTCAATCTCTTCTTCGTCTTCCTCTTCCTCTTCTTCTTTCAGTAGCGATCTCCTCCACACTTTTTCTCTTTGCAACTCAACTGCAATCGCGACGTCTGACGCAAGAAATGTATCATCTAAGTTCGAAGAATTCCTATTTCTTACAAATAACTATGATGTGAAACAAATTTCTATGAAAACGTCTGCAGGATACATGACTATCTGGATTGTTAATAAATTATATGATCGAAATGATAATAAGGAGTCTCGTTTAATGCCAGTATTATAATATCCATAAATGCGACATGAAGTTAATTCGAATATGATTTTCATACTGAACTAAAAGTGAATAGTATACTAAAAGCATTATCATAAAATAGAATATAACCCTGTAGAATGACAACAGAGGAATAATGAAACTAGTTTTATGGATAACAGTTAAAGCAACAAACCCTCGTTTGATATTTTATGACCCATTGGGACGTTTGCTGTGAGAAATGGCATATTGGTGTCTATTCTCTAAGGGATAGAAGTCAGGAATTGAACCTGCCTCTCCGCTTTTATATAGCACGGAACGTAACTTTCTACATTTTTGAAGAATCTTTTCACAGAAAGAAGAAATGTTTTCCATGAATTTATTTTTACGCTTCCTGTCTTAAGAAATGCATTTACACAAATATTCATTGTATCTGCCCTGTGTTAAATGAACGATAATAGATGAAAAAAAGAATGAAACTACAATATGATATATGTATGAACTGTTAAATATCTCCTGTAATTCCCTGAACAAAATATTGAATGGACATAATAAAGGAAGGTCGGCGAATCGAGTTTCCCGACGAGTAGTCATACTTATTGAAGAGGACGTTTTAAGAATTCACGAGTTCGTTCAGCTTTTATGTTAATAAGGTTGGAAGAGGAGCGTGATCAAAATCGGAGTAGCAACAGTCGTACCAAGTTTGGTGTCCAGACCAAAAGGACGATGCCTCATGGGAATCTTTGGGATTTCGGCCATGTCCTTGTTCGCCAAGTAAGTGCGCAGGATATCTGGATCCTGTGGGCCCGGGATCCTACCTGCGAAAGTAGTGGTTACATGAGGGAGCTGTTCAGAAGAAGGATCGATAACTACGCTAGCTTTTTTTTGTTGTTTCTCTCCTGTCAGCTGAAAGATTCGTACCGAAATGCTTTCAGACTTTACGTATACGTAATATGTTCCTGACTTCCATAACACATAAAAAAGAGAAAGAGTACTTTATAATCCTCTTCGTCAGTAAATAGGAGATACAGCTTTTCATAAATTCAAAATAGAAACATCGATTCTTTTTAAGGCTACTATTTTAAACACAATTGATTTTCAGAATTCACAACTATTATAAAAAGAAAAAATATGAAATTGTTAAAAAATATGAAATTCATCAGAGTAGATAATTCTATATAGGAAGGAACATATTTAAACGAATAATATACAAATACGAATCGAATAGAGTAAATTTTTGGTTTATCTAATCTCTGAACAAACACTTCTCGATACTTGTATCAACAAATCGTTATAGTGTGTAAGCAAGATACGTACTGTTCGATGGAGAAAACAAGATCCGTTTTGACAAAGAAAATATAGATGGATCAGATCGAGCAAATATTTGTTTCGTTATTTTTCATCGAGGATGCATCGCTACCCAGATTCGAAGCTGCGTCGCTCCAGGTGTTGACCCAGAAATTGCGCGTATCCATCGAAACATTTTTTTTCTTCCACTCGCGAATGTATAATTGCGACGAACCAGTACCAGACCGGCTGGCTTCTTTAATTAAACCGTGTCTTCGTGGCTACTGTTAGTTCGTTTCGAATTTATTCCTCATTTCATATTCCCATTTTCAAGAATAATACCGTGCGCGTCACGGTCACATTAAACCACCACCGTTTAAATTACAGGGAAAGTTATTCTTTTAAATGGGTTCCGCCCGGGCTTCTATACTAGAACGAATCTTTTGTTTCGAATTTCTCGGTGACTCTCGGAAACGTCGCGTCGCGTCGGTTCTTCCGTTTTGGCCAACGCAACGATGCATCGTCGACGAGTGGCTCGTCGTGAAAAAAAAACTACAGAATAACGCACTTTTTAACATCTCCTGTCGGTTCTCGTACATTTGCATTATCACCACCACGGTGATGAAAAATGCGTACCAAAGAATAAAACCTGCGATTAAAATGCATTAGAATTAAAAAATATTGTAATTAATACTTAGCGAACAAAGATCAGTGTATACTGTGGAACGAATACAAAATAATAATGGAATCGTGTAACTTTTGCGGAATCAGAGGGAGCATATAAATATTAATCTTGCTGGTTTTAGTAATACCGTTTGCGTTTGCATTTGCGTGGAGTTGTCTTTACAAAAAGTTCACGGGCAACAGCTGTATTTACCATTTCCATTTCAAATCAGTTTCTTCCAGAAGATCATTTAAAAAATATCAGAGGGAGCATATAAATATTAATCTTGCTGGTTTTAGTAATACCGTTTGCGTTTGCATTTGCGTGGAGTTGTCTTTACAAAAAGTTCACGGGCAACAGCTGTATTTACCATTTCCATTTCAAATCAGTTTCTTCCAGAAGATCATTTAAAAAAAAAATCAATAAAAAATTCAATTACAACTGACAAAAATGCTTTAATTATTTCGAGTATCAAAATTTTCTTTCATCGTTTTAATTTCAGTTTAATGACAATCTCGTCCTTTTCCCGTCTGCAACCTCGGCGCTATTTTAGTTTTGTTGCATTCTTTTTCTTTTTTTTACGTTTGAGAGGCTTATCACGGAATGCGGGAGAAATTCGTCGGTGGTCAAATTGCGAGGAAACCAGCGGTGGAAAGATCGCAGCTTTGCTTAATTAAATTCGCCTCCCGGAGTTATCGTTATTGCTGAATTAAACCGCGTACTTATGGCTCTCCACAGATAAACTTTTCCGTTTCTATGAAACCTAATGCATTTGATATCTGCCGTTTTTCTATTTCATGGATTTTCTAAGCAATTAAATTCAAAGCATAACTTGTAGAGTTTATTATTATTTGTCTTCCTTTTCTTACGAAACATAAAGTAAAAAAATTTGTTGGGAACTCAAGTATTTGCAGTATTTCTTGGATAAATATTATAATAATCTCTTGAATTGAATAAATGATTCTCGTGTCTATAACGTATCAAACAAAACTTATTTCTCCTTATTTTTTAAATATATTGGGAGAGATAGGAAATTGGCTTTCATACTAAACCTTCCGATTAGTTTGAACGTAGTTCCCCCTTTTGAACAGACATACGATTAGCAGCGTTACATGCAACGTTACAAGGAGCTCCCTACAATTTCTCCAAGTTTCCCGTAACATTCAACTCGAGAGGATCCCTTTCGGGTAAGTTTGGAGAATCCTGCCTTCGAGCAGGTAACGAAGTTAAGAAATAAAAACTACGATTACAGCCATTCATAATATACTTGTATCCTCGAGTTTAATATTCTCTTGAATTGAAAAAAAATCGTGAAACCATTTTTGAGGCAAACTTTAGTTATGTCTATTGAGATCTAAATAGTAGAAGTTACTTCATTTTATGAATTCTTGAAGTGAACTTAATTAGTAATACTGTTAATCATTAATATAATTTAATGGTTTCTTTCAATTGATACGTACCAATAGCCTCTATAAGGTAAATCTTCTCGTCCCTTATGATGATGCTGATCAAACATACTGTGAGAATGTAAAAACAAGCGTCTCTCATCACAGGCTTCAGGTGGATTCGAAACGGTTTCACAAACGCCACAGAGCCGGCTATGATCGTCGTTACAAAGATGCCAGCCCCGATTAGTTCCGTGAACATTATTATCCCTTCCTCGCTGCCCGACACGAGGGAGGTGAATATGTCAGGAGCACCGTTTCCGAATGCCAATATCGTGACGCCGGCTATATTGTCCGACAGCCGCAAAACACTGGCTATCACCGCCAGTGACGGGCAGAAGCTGCACAGACAGAGGGAATGAAAAAAGGAGCCCCAGGTACTCCACGGGCGAGGGTAGCCCAGGGGATAGGGTGAGAAGCGAGAGGAGAGAAGACGGGGTGGTAACGATTAATTTACGACGATCTGCTCGGTTCGATATTTGATTTCCTGCGACGGGACAGCGTCGAATTTACTCATCGTCATCCGCACATCCATTTGATATTTTATTTCCACCGACACAAGTGTACGCGCGGTCATTCATAAACGTCGAAACGTTCACAAAATAAGTAATCCGTTTATACCCAAATCATTTTCATTTCTTTAAAGAAGGTTACATGCGATTGCAGCACAGAGATGGATATGGTCGTTTGTATAAATTGTATGAGAGATAATGTACATTCTTAATTCGAACAACCAGCGTTTATGAATGTGTGAACTCAATCGAGGCGCATTTAAATTCTAGCACGATGACTATTAGAGTGTAAATTCTAGTGGAGCGTGAACATAGCGAATGGGAGACGAAAGTATTTGAAGAGAGATTAGTTCGTTTTCTAGATCGCCAGCAATGAAGATCCTAGAATAGAATGGTCTTCTCTTTCTTAAATTTCATTCCTTTGATCCCTTACGTAAAAAGGATTATCATGTCATTTTGACGATTATCCTTCTTTTATTGCAATTAAAAATTCGATGTAACCGAATTACGTTAATAATTTTCTACATTGTGACAAATAATAGAATTTGATGATTCGATATATACTTTGTATATACTTCTATTTGCTTCTTTGGCCAATGTAGTTTTTAATTCGAGTCGTATGTCGGTTTAATTGCGAAAAAAGTCCAGTACTTTGAACGTGTAAGAAAATAAATGTTACACCGAGTGATCCTTTAAGAACAGTCTTTAGAAAGGATATACTGTAATAAAATGGCATCCACCTTCCCCAATTCTTTAGTCAGAACACTAGCGTATAAAACAATTCTTATTTCACTTATTTAACTCGTTTGTTGTTAAAGATGAATAGGCTATGTACTTAAATAACTATAAATTTCTATTACTATTAAAAAGTTACCCGCAAAATTTTAAATCAATTCACG